TATATAGAAAGTTTTATTAGGATTGTAGGACTCCACTATTAAGAATAATCAAGATCTCTTTGTTTTAGAGAAGTTAGAATAATAACGACTTCTGAGAAATAGGTAGAATTAACTAGGGGGTACTGAAAGAGAAGGTACCAGGTTGTCTTGAAGAGAAGATATTGGGGTTTGGGTGAACTCTACAAGGGCTGAGTAGATAATGGTAGTGGCTTCAGCTCGCAAGTGCTTGTTTTCAGACTTGGTGTAAGTTACCGAAGTTTACGGTATAACTTCTCTAAAATAAAAGGATTTTGATTATTTTTAATAGTGGAGCCCTACGACCCTAATAAAACTTTCTATATACTGTACTTTTTTTTTAATTCATTTTTTATAGTTTGATTTTAATAAAAAGTATTTTAAGCTGTATAAAAAATGTAATTTAAACAGCTAATCATATGAAAATCTTTCTATGAAAGTTAAGGTATTGATTTTTTTAAAATGTAATCTGCTTGATTGCATTGACGGCAGCCCATATTAACCCATATGAGCAGAGATCATAGCACGTAGATAGTCAACAAAATTACTTTACTGTCACGTGATGAATGATCGACGAAAATAAGCCAATAATGAATTTCGATTTGGTGTAACGTTACGCGATCAGAACAACGTTCGTTTTGTCAAAAACTTATAACTCAAAATCTGCATAGGAAACCGCCTCCTGCGCATTAACAAAAAGGTTTCTTGAACGATTTTTACTATTAAAATCTACAATTATAACACTGAATAGGCTTTAAACATAATATAAACGAACTTAAAGAATTTTGTCGAATATCACGGGATGGTAAAAATTTTGATGGCGCTCCAGGGAAGATTAGTCTTTCGGACCATCCAAGTGCTATGACCGTCGGTAAATCTCTATAATTTCCACAGGAAATAAATAATACAAATTTTTAAATTTTTTTTTTAAAAAAATTTATATATTTTCAAAGAGAAAAAAATTTTTGTTATTATAAAACTTATATTTATAAATTATAAAAATCCTACTAATTAAAGCTTTTTTTTTTAAATTCAAATCCTATAATTGTATCAAGATTATAGGGGACATATGCTTAGATTTTTAAGAAATTTATCAAATGATAAAAATAAAAACTTTCATTTTTGTTATTTTTACTATATAGATAATGTTATTTTTTTCTTGTAATTTAAAAAATAACACTATTTTTATAATCCTTATATTCAAAGTTAGATTTGATAAAAATAGATCAAACATAAAAATTTTAATATTTTAGCGGTCAAATTTGCCCACTAACTGCTGACGGTTTAAGGGATACTATATCTCTCTATAGGATAGTGGCCTTCGATTTACGATGATTCTTTTATTTTTTTTTATTTTTTCCAGTTTTGTTTGGTCGATAGACGTATCCAGGATGAGCAAGCATATGTTCCACTTTTTTTTTATCAGCAATTTTTTGCCAATAATGTTTTACATCTTCGCTTTCGTTTCTCCAGAGATTGCCAAGTATTTTTGAAATTTTGCCATTAGAAATGTTTCCATGTTCCCGAGTTACTTCGAGTTGTTTTGCACGCCTATATAAGATGAAGGCATTTGGAGGACGGGGAATTCTATCTTTAGAAGATGGCTGCACCAAATTTGACGTCTTTTCGACCTCGTTGCTTAATAACGACGAATCTGAATCTATTACGTTATAAGTAATAGGTTGTTTATTTTTTATAGGATGTTGAGGTTTAACTCGAATTGGTTCCAAGAAGGAAGTAAAAACGAAATTGTCTTGAGTTCTTATGCTGCTATTTTCCAGCGAAGTTGTATGGTCGATGGTTAGTGTTGAAGAATTCACTTTACCATTAGATTTGTAGGGAAAGGAAGGTGGTGTATCAAACATTAGAAGGCCACAATATTTTCGCCGAATCGCTTCATCCATTATTGTTTATAATACGAGATTATTACGAGGTGATTTCCTTTTATAAAGAGAAACCATGAACCATGAATTTTAAGGGAACACTAATAATCATTAGTGTCGCCAATTAATTCGCTAAATAGGACATTAGTTCTTATATTCTACCGTAAGTAAACATAGCAGATTGGGGTGCACAGTCAGGCATGTTACCAAAATGTAAATCGATTCTAGATCGTTCCATTGAAATTTGTTTGGCTGCTTTTTGTTACATTTTGTGGCATTTCGCAATAGCTAACCATAACAAATAATTTTATAAATATAAAGTTGAATGTTCAAAATTTCATGACCAACATTGATCCCATCGGAATCAATCCTTTATTTCTATTCAAATTTACAATTTATTGCGATGATTAATATATAACTCAGCTTCCGATTCGTGTAACCGAAACAAAAAGAATCACTTGATCTGCATTTCTATACCATAAAAAGGGCCCATTTTGGGGGTCGTTTAAAGCAAGGTGCGTTAGAATTACTTTTTTGATGCAGTTATGATTACGTTTTTGATGCAGTAATGGTGATAATTTATGCAGCACGTAGATCATTTCCAAGTTTAGGGGTCCCTTAAAGCGGGCAGATTACGTAATAATTAGCCAATCGTCAAAATTTGATAAATCCCCGTCACATCGAATTTACATGAACAATCAGTGTGTAACGTTAAAATTTTAAAAAATCGCTTATGAAACGATTTTCTGCATTTTAACAAAAAAATTCCTTGCGAAATTTTAGTATAGGTTCTTTTTTACAACCTTGCCCTTACCCTAACACTAACCCTAACACTAATTGACGATATTTTTTTTAAAAAAACAACACAAAAAAATCATATAAACAATAACGATCATTTCCATTTTGGGCGGTGGGTACATAGATGACGAAGCAAAACAAACGAAAAAAAGAGAAAAAAGCGAAAAACACCAAAAATGGTAGTCTATCTTGGTGCATTAATAAAAAATGTCGGGAAGGTCATTTTGCTTATAAAAACACCTTTGACCTCAACCCAAAGTGACCCTAACCCTAATGTTAATGAAAAACGGCATAACACGTAATCTGCCCCGCTTTAAGGACCCCCAAATTTATACCAAACGCACCTTTCCCAAGTACCCCAGTGGCATCGACAGATTTTCACTAATCGACAGCGATTGACCAATTAGATTACAAGATCAGGTGTAACGTGAATCAAAACAAAAAATCGCGTTTTTTAAAAAAACCGCTATAACTTAAAATTTCGTCTATGTAAACACTTTCTGCGCATTAGTAAAAAAAATTCCTTGCAAAATTTTAGTATAAAAAAACCCTCGTTATAATTGTAAACCTAATCCTAATGTAGCGTTTTTTTTACTTTAAAAAAATTGTCGATCAGTGAAAATCTGTCGGTGCCACTGGCCCCATTTTTGGTAATGAATTGTATCAAAAAGGTAACTCTAAAAACATCAAAACGTAACTTTTTTAACCCGACTTTAAGGACCCCCTCAAAATATAGTGCAGGTCATATCTGTAGATCAGCGTTAATTTAATAGTAAAAACATAGAAAGCTCAAGCTACAATAACTCTTGAACCAGCAAACCCATACAAATATATTTGTATTTGTCAGGTTCGTTATAATGTGCTTTTAACGTGACAACGCTCTTTTTTTTATTTTTATTGTCTGGAGCGTAGCGGGGGAATAAAATAATGGCAAAATTCTTGTTTTTGATGTATTAGTAATAAAATATCAAAAATGTAGTCATTGCATATGTGTCACAATATATACAGAAAAATCCTTTTGATGTTTTTATTAATAATACATCAAAAGCGAGAATTTTGGCATTATTTTATTCTCCCAGCTACGCTCCAGACAATAGAAATAAAAAAAAATGTTGTCACGTTATTTGTTTCAAGGGTTATTATTGCAGCTTGAGCTTTACTACGTATTAAATTAACGCTGATCTACAGTACACTGTAAAAAATCTTGATTAGTGTAATTAGACTGATGCCGTACACCCCAATACCCCAATAGCAGATAGGAGATAGAGTGGGTTTTCCGTGAGTAATACAAACCAAAAAAGGAAATCCGATCTTGTAAATAAACTAAGTGCGTGAAATAAAAATTTAGAGTTAGGGCTTTACCGTTAGAGGCTATAGAAACAGGTTAACACTCGTCAGATGTAAAATTTCATTTCTGACATTTTTAAATTAGTGTATCAATGTCGATTTAAACACGTATTCGCTGTTTTCTTCTTTCATACGTGTTCGGATTCTATGTCGATCTGATACGGAATAGTCAATTATGCACACTCTAATTGGTTATTTCCTTTTTAAGAGTTTTTTTTCATAAATTTACAAACCTTATCTAATAAGATTTGTGAGTTTTTCTTGGCGTTACTCAGATAGTAAAAGCAGTGTAACAGTCAGATTATTTGTAACAATGGACAATACAGGGTGGAGAATTTGTTTTTTGTTCTGGATCCATAACGTAGAAATTTCATTCAATACCCTGGCTTTTTTAAACTATAAATGAAATTTTTTTTTATCTGAAAAAAAAATAAAAGAGATATAGTAAAATGCACCTATTGTGTTTAATACTTGTCTATTTTTATTAACTTTTCTAAGTTTTATATATAAAATTTAACGCAAATTTTTTATATTAGGGTTAGTACTTACAGTTAGAACTAGATTTGGGAAAGGTTTTTGAGGCATAGTGCATTTTCGCTTAGAACACCTCACACTACTTCATTAGCCAATTTTTGAGATAATCCATAGATGCATTTTAGGAATGTCGAAAAAAAGTCAGATAAAAATAATTTGTAGATCAATATACAGTACGCATCCATAGATCTCTTAGATAGTGATCCAAATCGTTAGTTGAAAAACCAACTAGTTACGGATTTGCTAATTTTCCCGCCAGTTCCTATTGGACGAGAGAAATCCTACTTTTTATTGGACGAAATTGACTTATAAATTTTTATTTGATCAAATAACGGAAGTATCGTTGAAACAGTATAAAAGTTTAATAGAATGTATACTATACTAAAATTTTGCAAGGAAATTTTTTTTGTTAGAACATGTATGGTTTGTAAATTATCGGCGATTTTTTTTGAAATTTATGTTACACCTGATCTTATGATTTGATTGGTAACGAAAAGTGGCGTAATCTAACTGGTGGAGGAAATTAGGGCACTAGTTGACAACTAGTTGACTAATTGATTGGAAAATTTTTAACCAACTAATTGTTGATTGATTATCTGTATAATAAATTTTAAAATGTTGCTAACTTGCCCCCTGGTAACATTAACCACTTTATGATTTACCAATCAGATTGCAGAATCTTGTGTAACAAAATAAAGAAATTTTTTTTAAAAAAATTAAAAAACTATCAATATCATAAAATTTTATTATAAAAACTAGCTTTGGGCTATTAAGTAAAAGTTTTTAGCACCTATTTGTGTATATAAATAACTTATACTTTAACTTAATATAGTCTATATCCTAACTCTAACCTTTAAATAATAATTTATTTATATAAAAAAATTCTATAAAAATAAAGAGTGGTTAAAATTTATAATTTTAACCAGGAGTTAAAATTGGTTAAATTCTAAATTTTAAATATTAAAATTTAGCCAATCAAGTTGATACAAAAATATGTAATTATTTGATTAATTAAATTTATCAAAATATATGACAATTAGTTACAACTAATTAGCAACTAAGTTAACAACTAATCAATTTGAAAATTTAGAACACTATTCTTAAAATAATATATAATATTTTCAAACCTTGAATATAGATTTCTATATCTTTAACATATTAATAAATTTCTTTAATAAGTATTGTTAACTCTTGTAATTAGTATTATATGATAAAATTATACATGTTACCAAAAAAGGGTTTCAAAAAACCTATTTTGTCTTCATTAGAGCAAATTAAAATTTTTTATATGCAAAAGCAAATCTAATTTAAGTAGTCATATTTTTTATAATTTTGTCTTTTCAAAAAAGTATCAAAAAATTTCATTTTTAAATAAAATAAATTAAAAAGAGACTCTTTCCATTAATTACTTACACCAAACCAAACCTAAAAACAACAAGACAAAAATAACTACAACTTCTTAAATTATTAAGAAAACTTACTTTGA